AAGAGACTTTGGCCAACACTCAGGACAACAATACTTGATTCCACATATGTAGTGTTTAAGAAAATTGAGATTATATGATGGTGTTGTTGGCCATACTATATGTGTATGCTATGTAAGTAGGCAGGACTGTCTGATTGGCCCTACTGGGCAAAATATATTTAACCTATTATTGAAAGCATTCATATTAATGGCTTTTCAGGAATGAAAAAACCCTCAATTGAACTGATTTTTAAAGGTTGGAGTTGACTATCTGGCCTCCACTTGGAATTGGAAATCTTAGCAAAAACCTGAAAGCATTTCCACTTTTCTTTTCTTCTCTATGACCACTTCATCACAATAGATGTGGTTTTGTTTGATTTGGATGAATATTGTTCTAATAGAAAGGATTGGGAAAGATATGTATCATTAAATGGCTTTGGATGCATGGGAAAGCTGGGATAAAGCCTATTTCAACTCATTTTCAATAGATGGTTTGGACTATCTGGCCTCAATTTGTAGCCTAATATCTCAGGAAAAACCTGGAGAACCACCCCACAAAAAATGGCACCCAATGGACCAGTATTGCAGCCTGCAGAAATAATTTATATATTTTGGAAAAGGACCCCAGACACCCTATGACAGCTTTGGTATGATGGTATGAAGTGACATCATACCATCTGGTATGGTATAACAGGACATGGTATAGTATGGTGACATGGTATTGGTATGGTATGGTAACATGGTATATGGTATGGTAACATGGTACTGGTATGGTATGGTAACATGGTATTGGTATGAGTGGGGTATGGTATGGGTTTTCCATTCCATGGTACCATGGTATTGGTATGGAGCTCATATACCACCCCGGAATGGGTACCCCCAAGGTACCCTAAATCAAGGAATTGATGTACCTCATAGGTACCCAAAAATGGGTGACTGAAGTGCTCTAGTCTTCAATCTACCACCGTCAAACCATTTATTCGGGCCTTTGAATGGGGTTTCTGCTCCTAACCAAATACGAGAAGCTGCATCATTTTCATCTTCATCCGCACTTTCCCTCGTCTCTCTTTGTTTACCTTTGGAGGCTTGACGGTTAGAGGTCCCTGGGAGTTGCTCCTTGTCCGGTATGAAAGCTTTCTTCCATGTAGTTGGTAGAGGAAGTATGTTCATCCACGATTTACCCTGATTCAGAGCGGTCTCCGCTTGCTCAGACAATTGTTCGTGGTGATTTGGAAATTTCTGGTACAAATATCGTAAACGCTGATCCGCTGTTTGAAGGGTACTCAAATCTGAGTGTAATTTGGGTAGAGTTGAAACAGGAGATAGCGGAAATTCCATTTGCGGGTCATTCTGGTATTGTTGCATGTATTTGTTAAGTGTACGATTTCCTAGTTCCAAACGTCTTTGTATGGTCGTCCAAGCAACATTTAGTTGAGGGAGACTAGTTGTACCCCTTAAGATGGGTATTAGGGTATCCCCTGGGTCAACAACAAAGTGTTGAGTCCATTCCTCTATCAATCCTGCAGCCTTCTCTACGAAAATTTGTAGTTCCGTTGATATCTTAATCAATCCCTCTAGAAAATCATCCGAAAGTTTATACTTTGTGATCCCTTTATTTGGGTCCTCCACTTTCTCGACCAATTCAGCTTCCAATTCATCTTTAGTAATTAATATATTGACCCAAGACTCAGTAGAAAGCTCGTCATTCTCATCTTCCCCGGAGTACTGAGCTATAAGCTTCGCCATCGGTGAATCCTTATACGTTGAAGTACCACCTCTCGTTATTACTGGAGTCTCCATCTCCTGTCCTTCGATTATAGTATCGAATCCAGGCGAGTTAACGACGGGTTCTGTAGATGAAGTTGTCGCCAGATATCGTGCGGGATCGTCGGTAGTTGACTTCCTCAAAGTGGATGTCGTTGAACTGGGTGAACTAGAGTTATCAACAACTCCCGTGGCTGATACTGTCACGTTCGAAGTAGTTGGTCTTGACGTTTGAGCCGTAAATTGGAACGCCGTTAGTGGGGATGACGGTTTTGTGGTTGACGTAGTCGAAGAAGAAGTGGCGGTAGATTTAGGAATGTTTGTGGTCTTAGGGGGTCGATGACTTGATGTCGTGCTAGTTTTGGCCGGCAAAACCGATTGTGATGAGGGTTGTGATTGAGTTTTGCTGTTAGGCTTGGGAGCCCTCGAAGATTTAGGAAATGAATACAATGGTTGGCTAGCGCCTTGTCGCGATGTAAGTGTTGTAGTGGGGGTAGCGGTATGGGCAGTAGAGTCTGACGTGGCAGCGGGATTAACTGCTGGCGCCTCGTCAGATCTCGATTTTCTCTTGGTAATGTAGTCGGCCAGGGCGTCGTAGTATCCCACAGTGTCCACCCTTATAACAGGTGTTCTGTGAGGTACAGGAGGAGTGGGTGGTCGAGGCTACGACGTAGGGTCTGGCGAACGTGAATATAGGTCTTGTTACTATGGTGTGAGGACTAATCGTCCTTCGTGCGACTTAGTCCTTTGTTCACGAACTCTATGCAGAGATCGCTAGTGCTTCGGATGTCCATTGCGCGATATCTGCTCTTCCTCAGGAAATCCTCGAAGAAGCAGAGTTCGGGAAGAAAGGCCGATGGATATTCAAATACCTCTAAGAGAATATTCAATGATCTCACAAACTCAGATCACTTACTTTGACTCAAACAGGGGGCGCAATACGACGCTGCCGCACGACGAGCGAACGTAGTGGTGGTACGATGAATAGAAAAAAGATGTCACTACTACACGTGTGCTAGTGTGACTAATGCGAGTTGAATCGTGACAGTCATTAAGTAAGCGCAATCAAAACAGTCAAAGAGAATATAACGTCGTAAGAGGGAAATTACCACAGGAGACTTGTACAGGTACTGGGCATATGTCACACACACTTAGCACGCTGATAAGGCACAGCAAGCTTTCTCCACAGTCAAGGCCCCAACTTTATATAATGCCCTCCCTGCTGTTGAAGCTCTTTATGCAGCTTGGACCAACCACGTGAAGAAAGAAAAGTATGCATTTTTCGAACCAGCTCTCGATGCAGCTGCTTCGAAGCTTGATGAGTATTATATGAAAACTGCAACTTCTGATGCTCATATTATTGCGATGAGTATGTCTCAGTCAAATTGTAAGAATTTTCTAACCCTTGTATCTGTAGTCATCAATCCCAAAAAAAAAAGCTCTCCCATTTCAAGAAGTATTGGAAGAAGGATGAGTATAACGAAGTGGTGAAGCTTATCAAGGCGAAGGTGTGTGTTCCTATGCTTCCCCTTGAATTTTCTCTGAACTCCATGACACAGTTTATTGAACGTTATGAATTCCTCCATCGTACAGCGCCCTCTTCAGAGCAATCCAAGAAGACAAAGAAATCACACAAGGTCAATGGCCTCATTTGTGACAACATTGAGACAGATTTGGAATACGAAGGTGATGAAGAGGACAACCCATTTTCGGATCCGACAAAACCATGGAGGGGAGAGTTCCTTCGCTTTCTCAATGCAAGGGACGTGATCCTGGAGAATATGGGAATCATTGAGTGGTGGGGGGTAAGTGTCCTGTTCTTTTTTTTGACATCCATTCACGAAAAAATAAGGAACACTCAGGGACATATGGCCAAACTTGGACATTGATAGCACGCGACTACCTGCCCATCATGGCCTCATCCATTTCGAGTGAGCGAGCATTCTCTTCTGCAGGGATTGCCATTAGCAAGCAGCGTAATTGACTCAAACTGGATGTCATTGAGGCCCTTCAATGCCTGAAGTGTTTGTATAAAAATGATCTCATTTTTCATGATGTGCTGCTTTCCTCAACGATAGAAAAAGATCTCAATGGGGAGGAGATTTTAGATTTAGATTTTCAGGCTGATGAAATTGTCGCGCAGGCTGATGATTTTTCGTGGGACCAATTAGTACTCGACGTTGATGAGGACGACATTGTACTAACTATGCAATTCTTGTCATTTTTTTTAGTGCAGGCCGTGGCCTGAGCCCGAGCCGCCTGTGGCTTGGGCTCAGAGCTCGGGCTTGAGATTTACAAAGCCTGAGCTCTCGAAAGCCAGGCCAAAGCCACAGCTTCCAGGCCAAGCCGGGCCGTCACATCACTAGGAAAGACCCTGACATAAATAAGAAAGAAGAGGCCATGAGATGTGATCATAGAGGTCCTTGACACCTCCAATTATGAGCCATTCACCATCAGGTAAAGCCAGAAATGCAATAACCACAGGATGTGGATCACAGAAAGTATACATACCTCCAGGATGAGAGAACAATTGTAAAGTGTGAGTTGTAGAGGTAAGCACCACTGTTGAGACATCATGGTTGGTACACGGAAAGTAGTATCAGTGGAGAATAATCACCAGAGGTGATAATAGAAGTACACACCGCTCTGAAGACAGTGGAGTCCTTACGCCCAACCCACGGAAAGTAGAAGTAGTAGATGAGATGTTGTGCTTGACACACAGAAAGTAGTAGTAGTGGAGAATAATCACCAGAGGTGATCATAGAAGTACACACCACTCCAAGGACAGTGGAATCATTATGCCCAACACACGGAAAGTAGAAGTAGTAGAGAACAATGACAAGAAATGATTGTAGAAGTCAAGACATCATGCTCAATACACGGAAAGTAGTAATAGTATAGTAGTAGCGGAGAACAACCACCAGAGGTGATCATAGAAGTACACTGTACACGTCACTCCCAGGAAGATGAAGTCATTGTGCTTGATACATGGAAAGTAGTAGTGGAGAACAACCACTGGAGGTGATCGTAGAAGTACATGTCACTATCAGGAAGATGGAGTCATTGTGCTCAACACATGGAAAGTAGAAGTAGTAGGGAATGACCACAAGAAGTGATTGTAGAACCCAGGATGGTTGAGTCATTGTGCTTGCACATGGAAAATAGTAGTGACAGAAGAGAATGACCACCAGAAGTGAATCATAGAAGTATGTGCCACTCCCAAGATGGTTAAGTCATTGTGCTTGACAACACGGAAAGTAGTAGTGACAGAAGAGAACAATCACCAGAGGCAAATCATAGAAGTATATGCCACAAAGTAATAGTAGTAGTAGTAGAGAACAACCACCAGAGGTGATTGTAGAAATACAAGCCACTCCCAAGACGGTTGGGTCATCGTGCTTGATGACACGGAAAGTAGTAGTGATAGAAGAGAACAAATACCAGAGGCAAATGGTAGAAGTACACGCCACTCCCAAGACGGTCAAGTCATTGTGCTCGACAACATGGAAAGTAGTAGTAGTAGAGAACAAATGCCAGAAGCAATTGTAGAAGTACACGCCACTCCCAGGATGGTCAAGTCATCATGCTCGATACACGGAAAGTAGTAGTAGTTGAGAACAACCACCAGATGTGATCATAGAAGTATGTGCCACTCCCAAGACAGTCGAGTCATCATGCTCAACACATGGAAAGTAGTAGTAGTTGAGAACAACCACCAGAGGTGATCATAGAAGTACGTGCCACTCCGAAGACAGTCAAATTTTAACAAAGGGACAGAGTGTCCGAGGTAACACATATGTTGTGCAAATACCCCAATCGTGATGATTGCAAAAAGTACTAGAAAACACAAAGCATGAAGGAAATGTGTAAAAGGAGACAAGAAAGTGGATGGGGAAGATATGGAAGGTGGTGACTCACCTTAGCTGGTTATGCCTCGAGCCTCTATGGGAAGTAGTCTTCGAAAGTCCGGTTAGGTCCGGTTATTGGGTGCCTAGGGGCTCTAACCAAGACCAATACCAGTTAGCCTTTGTCCTGAAACATAAAATAACCTAACCGGACCGCAACTAACCGGTTACAGTTGGTTATTTGCAGTTACTAACCGGTTAGGGCCGAAAAATAAAGAATCGGTTATAACAAGGCAAATATGCTTATATGTATCTTGATAGATATTATTTCTGCATATTCTAGCTTTAAAACAAGCCCAAGCACGCTAAAATCGGTGAAGAATTGACATATTTATGCAATTATCCTTGAAAGTCTACACATTTGAGTGATATTTTAGAGATTTGACCGTAACTTAGTCAAATTTTAAGTGTTTTCGACGTTCTCAAGTGCATTTTGAAGGTGTATAATAGGGCTGGTTATAACCGGTTATTTAACGGTTAGTTAACCGCAAAATAACCGGTTATTCCATTTTCGAAATCAACTAACCCTAACCGTGGTTAGGTTAGTGTTGCAGTTAGGTCCGGTTATTTTCCAGTTATTTTCCAGTTAACTAACCTAACTTTCAAACACTAATGGGAAGTTTAGTGGTCCTGACAAGAGAGCAGCAAGATGCCAAGCTCAAGAACAACAAGATGTTGGACTTTGGTGACAGTGAATCACAATCAGTGAAAGGCAGGATGCCACACTCAAGAGACAAGATGTTAACCAGATGCTGAACTTGTGGTGACCACCAGAAATGAATCACCAATGAAATATCGGCAAGACACTGAACTTGAGAACAATAAGACATTGAACTCATGGACAGGTAACACACAGGCATGCAAATACCCCAAGGCCATGAGAGAGAACCGGATTCATGCATGAAACACAAAGAATCTGCATAAAGGCAAGTAGAAGGGGAAGTAAGAAAGTATGGGACACACCAGGATCACCCAAGTATGTGCTGAGCGGCATGACCAAAGAAAGTAATTGGCATATGTGGGACATGTAGACCATGACAACTGTCAACAGCATATGCAAATCTTGCAAAACGACTGAATGTATTCAATCTCCTGCTGGTCAATTTGTATCAGTGAGGAAATCTGAAGAAAGAAAACTCAGCAGATTTATCAGCTTGTGTAGAAAGAAGGCATGAGATCTAGCATGCTAATGGCTAGCTTATGATGTCTTCATTGAACTTGGAGACACAGAGAACTTGGAGATACAGAGAACTTGGAGACACAGAAAACTGCAAGATCACTCTTGTTCTGTGTAGGTCTTGCAAGTTGCTATTGGCCTTGCTTGGTGTGAATTCGTGGCAGAAGGATGCAGTGGGCAAAGCTCAAAAATTTCATCCTTAGCTAAGTGAGGAATTCAGGCGGCATCAAGAGCAAGATCCTGACATGCAGAGCGATGAGAAGAGCTTTGAGCTCGTTGTGGTTATGAAAGTGACTAACTCACATCTTTCCAATTCTGACATTTTTTGGAATCTTCGGCCTCAAGGATGCCTGACACCATTCTCTGCATACCCATTCATCACTTGCTCATACACCACACAACCCCACCCACCTCTAACCTTCTACCGCCATTCTGTCACTCCTGATCTGTGCCAAGGCTGGCCAACACCTGTCACTGCAAAAACCTTCCCATTTGCCACCATCGAAGCCACAAAGACCTGTCTGATTGTGCTGACCCTGGACCCAACTAACCCAAGTCAGTGTATCTTACCATTGGCAATATCTCAAAAGACATTCGGCGTCAAGCAAGTTCACATGCTACAATTCTCATCGGGTACCTGCCTGTAGGAAAGTTTGACTGCTTTACTGAAAAGGTGTGCCAGGCCATGTGCTACCACACCTTTCACCACTGCATCTCTATCCTAACAGGATCACTTGTTAGTGCAGGCACAAACAGAGTGGACATGACTTGCCCCAATGGGTTTGTCTGATGGGTTTGGCCAATTCTTGCTGCTTACATGGCAGATTACCCAGAGCAGTGCCTTGTTGCATGCTGTATGGAGAATCGGTGTCCTATTTGCAAAGTGAATCCCAACCATCGTGGATCGCATGAGGCCACTCTGCTACGAGAAACCAAGGAAACAGTTGTACTCCTTGCGATGAATGAGACGAATTCCAAGGACATGAAATTCAAAGAAACTTACCAGGAAATCGGTCTATGTCCAATCTACCCACCATTTTGGGCTTGTCTACCTCACTGTGACATCTTTCAGTCATTCATGCTGGATCTGCTACATCAACTGCACAAAGGTGTTTTCAAGGACCATCTCGTGAAATGGTTAGTGTTTGGAAGTCCGGTCTCGTGACTGGAAAAAGACCGTAACCAGACCGGACCAAGACCGCAAAAGACCGGACCTGCGGTTACGGTCTTTTATTTTTGAAATGTAAAGACCGCAAAAAGACCGGTTAACGTGAACCGGTCTTGACCGGTTTGGACCGGTTTTTTGTAGCCCCTTAAATACCCTTTAAAACGCACCCAAGAACGTACGATTTGGTAAAAAAACGAGAGAGATATGAATTAAAATGTAAATTACTTTGGGGAATAATAGATGTACCAGACTTATTTTATAGAAGCACCAATACCTAACGGGATTTAACGTTCTTGGGCTCGTTTTGAAGCTATTAGAGATGTTAATAAATTTACCGATTCATAATTTTAAAATATTGGCCTAAAGACCGGTCATAAACCGGTTAAAACTGATGCAGACCGAAACTGGTCTATAGACCGCAAAAAACCGCGGTCTGCGGTCTTTTTGCGGTCCGGTCTGGTCTTTTGACTTCTGGGGAAAAGGCAGACCGGTTACGGTTACGGTTAACGCCCCTGGGCATCAAAAAACCGGACCGAACCGGACTTTCAAACACTACATTCAAGAAACAAGGCACGTCGAACACATGTCGCCTGCCAAGTTGCTGCCAAGGCCATGGTTTCTACGGCTCTATCAGGTACTACAGTCGAAACCCTCGTAACCCATGCATCAGATAACCCATAACCCCTGAAATCCCATGCCATTTTGGATCCACCAAGTTGGTGGGTGGGGATTTGCATACCATAACCCATAAGTCCGTGATAATCCATAACCCATAGCCCTTCGTGGGCAAAACCCATAGGTTTTTGGACCCTAAGTTAGGGTCATACCTACCAAAAATGGTCATAGAACCCCGCATTTTTCACTGTTTTTTCATGACACTCAATAAAATTTTTATCTACATTAATAAAATCCACCACAACACCAAATTTATTGACCTGCTGATCACCAAATTCTCTGAAATCAACTTGCAATGCCCCTCCTCCCCAGATCAAGCTTCACTCGATCACGAAGTCAACACTGTTGAATAGAAATACATCAATGATGACTTGCCCCAATGGTGCTGATTGTTTTACTTCCAGTCCAGCAAACAAAGAAAATTAGATTTTCTCGAGATTTCCATGATTTTTTGAGCGCTTATTTTTTTCCCACCCCCTCCAACCCATAACCTCTGAAAACCCATAGGCTGGACTGTCCACGGAAGGGTATGGGTTACGAGGGTTTCGACTGTATATGTCTGCGTAACTATGCCGGTCTACAGCAACCTACCCCGCCTATGTGGCCCTAAGTAAAATTCATATTCTATGTTGAACTACGTAATCACACTGTAATTACCAGGACGGACAAGAGTCGACACACACACACAGAAATGAAATACGACACACCTGTCCAATGTTCAACACATTGATGGCAAATGTCGGTCACTTATTCAGGAATGTGTGTCGAATCTTATCCATACTATTTCGATAAATTCCGCCACAATGTTCCCTTTTTGGATTGAAAATCTGATGTGTGACGGCCAAATTAGATATTGAGTACATATACACCAAAAATTCTGTGGTTAAGTCGAAATCAGCCTCTCCATGCTCACGTAAAATTTGACATTATAAGTTTTATTCCTTACACTACTTACTATACATTAAGTTATACGTAGATTCTAAGAGAGGGAGCAACATCGCGACCCCGGAATGTACCTACCAAGAATTCTCACCGTCGACAGCCTTGGGTGTCAACATGTGGTCTCCGCGGCCGTGGTCGAGTGAGACGCAGTGGTGGCCTCGTCGGAGAGGGCGCTGGCGTTTTCGCTGTCATTCGGGGCTGTTTAGTGGGGAGGCGCATGGTACGCACCTGGCTGCACAATGCTGTATTGCCTGTTGGTTCGCCAAGTGGCGCTGGGTCCTCGTCGATGGGCCTCAGCGCTGGATTCCGTCTGTTGGGGCATTTTCGTGAGCTGATTCCGTCAGCGTGGGTGGTTTATCCTGGGCGCTGAGTTGTTGCCGTGGGTAGTTGGGTGGTTTTGTGTGCGTTTTCACAGGCGGTTAGTCGTAGTCCACAGGTTGCGTTTGCGAGGGGAGTTGATCTGGGGGCGGACGTGGCGTGAGGTGGGAGGAGCGCCCCGGCTTTGCCCTGCTGGGCATTCGCCAGGTAATGGGAGGTGGGTTGTTAGCAAATACGGGGCTGAACAGAGTCGGAACTCACCTGAAGGGGCCCGTAACCGTTCTCTCGGTCCTTGTCGGCCATAGCAAGGGTGCGAGGTGAGGAGGAAGAGAGCGCAGGGGGTGGTGGGGCACAGGCAAGCAAATGGTGGTCGTGGTGGTGATGAGAAAGCGGTCGTGACCGAGTCGTGACAGCGTTCATCACGCTCGTAACGGAGTTTCGAATTTATGCACGGCACACTCGAAAATGCGAAATCACGAAGAACGACACATTGTTACCAGGTGTGTCGCTTCTCACATGATGTGTCCTACTCCTCATCTGTGTGTGTGTGTCTCCTCTTGTATATCCTCTGTAATTACCAAACAAAAACGCCCTTCCAGATGTTAGGTGTGACGCGTGTTGGCCAGAGTGGTTGGAAACTCGACAGAGTTGGTGGAGCGCCCTGAGCATATGTGGATGCACATATTGCTCATCATATCTGTCGTGACAGTGTATGACGGTGGCGTGAAGTCGGTCGCACGAGGGATCGTCGTGTGGATGATGCAGCTTTTGTGGAAAGCTTGAGATCAGCAATCCCACGTCACGGCGGTGAGGGTAAATTGAGATTGAGATTCGAGCAGCCGGATAATTGGAGGACGGGAAGTAGAGACACATTGCGTAGTGCTGAAAGCGAGTGCCATTGGCTGAGAGAAACGGGACGCGGGATCAATCGATCACCAGTAACTGAGACGTAGGCTTTGCGTGGGCTGAGCGCTAGCGCTGATCCCTAGCGTCGACCGCTAATATTTGTAAACTGTACTCAAATCAATGCTTGGTACATTCAAGGTTCATTCGACTCGGAACTTCATGAAATACAATGTTGTCCATAAAAACTCGATTCACAATCCAAACAGTCAGCACACTCAAGTGTCGTTCGAGGGATTTGATTTGATTCAGCCGGGGAAGGGGACGGGGACGATATTGAAAATCGCTGCTGGTGCAGCGACGAGAATAGCTTCCTAAAAGTATGGAAATTAGTATGATAGTAATTTATAAATAGTGGCACCGCCAATACATCGTCGTCATTGAGCGCCCAGAACAAAAATGGCTCCGCATCTGCGAGTCGAATAGTGCTTCCGCCACTGAAAAGAGCGTTGGCAGTAAAAATATCAGGCAATGAATATTATATGAGATGATTCGTGACATACCCAGCCGCGGCGATAAACCAGTTACGTGGTGCTGGACCGACGTTGACAAGCTCGTCGACAACACCCGGCCCCACAACACTGGCAAAGCCTGGTCCAGGGAAGTCCACGTTCTCTATCTGGGTGAGCCCAGCCGGAGTTAAAACCCACTAAGGTCGGATAAACATCAGATCTACTGGAACTTAAAGGTGCTATACCTGTTGATTCGGGAAGTTATTTTGGGCTATGAATTGGATGGGGCCTCCAGGTATGGCAGGCGCAGTCGCAAAGAGGGCGCCAGGTACGGTCTGGATGGTAAAGGTGGCCATTGGTACAGGTAATGGTCGATAATGGGATAGAATGGGAGCGCTGGGGAGTTGGAGTAAAGTTGCAGCGTTTTTATACCAAAGCAATGGCAAAGATCATCAGATCTGGGGACGTCGTTCTTGTGGGACTATCGAGCAACTAGTAGCTTTAGGTAACGTATAGAAAGTTTCGGTACCCGTGCCGCTGCTCCTCTGCTTCTTCCTCCAATATGTTTTCGCATTTGGATCCTTTCCAGATTCACTTGTATGGCATATACATATTGAGAGCTTCTGATCGAAGCGTGTCAACACTGATCCCTTCTGAGTTCTCAGATTGCACGCATCGGCTTCTTCTTTGAAACAGGATTTGAGTGAGTTGGTCGGATAGCTCTCGAAAAAACCCAGATCCACCAACCTGGACAAATTTACAAATTCTGAGGGTACAACCCAGACAGAGACCGCCAAATGGCGTCCGGACAAAACTCCCATTTTCGAGATCAGACCGTTTGTGCTATTGACCAGGGCTGAGGGTTCTAGTTTTGAGCGAAACCGATGAGAAAATAACGTAGTTATGCCCTCACATCAGCAAAACCTGATTTTCCCACGTAGACAGGCATAGTGCTTCCGCTAACATCATAGTTTCCCATAGTTACACGCCAAGTTTGGCTAGATGCCCTAGCGCTCCACAGCGCTCCACAGCACTGTGTGGGTGTAAGCTTGTGCTATACAGCACTACAGAGACTTGTGCCGTTACTATAGGGTGCTATAGAGGGGCCTCCACTTTCTACCCAGCCCTTATAGGGAGTCAAACTACAAGTATACTAGATTTCAGTAGAAAACACATTCCCTATTGTATATGAATAATTTATGACCAAAATACGCCTGGAATAAGAAGAAAGTACAACACTGTCCAGAGATTGATTGACCTACAAAGATTGCAACAAGAAAGAATATGAAGTATCTTTTGCAAAACATATTCGTCTTTTGTGATTTTTTTTGCGTTGGAAAGTGGTGTTCAAGCCGATTCCAACGCATCTATTTACGTAGTATTTAGTTCAAAACTCAAATGGCTTTGGACCAATTACTGGTGAAGAATCTGCCTAAAAATGGTAAATGTTATCGGAGGTCGCCTTAAACGTCGAAATATTAGGGGCTCTTAGACCCGTTTTAAAGCTCTAATTTGTGCGTTTCTGACAAGCCCAAAATCGCATGAAACGGAGCAGAACTCATGATGATAATATATATTTCAGATGTCTAATACAGGCCAAATAGTTTATGCTACAATTTGTGAGGTACTCCAAATTTTTCTACGCCGTAAATTGGATTGCATTCGCGTGAATAAAGCGATTAAAATAAGCCTACATAGAGGCCAAACGGTGTGATACTCGTGAAGTTATAGCTATGAGCTACCTAGAAAGTGTAAGTGTGAATTGATGGAAGTCGGTACGGTTGCGGGAAGTCACGTGCCATGCTCAACTCACATTTTCGAACTTAGACAACTTCAATTGTTACTACTACTACCAAAAAACAGGAAATTTCGGGAAATCATGGAAATAGCCAGGAAATTTCTGGTAACAACTGCAAATTTCTTGGAAGGCTCGGAAATTGTTCAATAATTTTCCAATATGAACTTTATATTTGCTTGATTACATGGTGCCATCTACAATTGTGTATGCCCACCTCGAATGCCATGCTTTCTGTGAAAGACAGTGACAGGCGACAAACAACTTCAAGTTGCGAGACAATTCGTTTAAGTCCGTTGAAACTCCGACATCATGTGATTATGTTGAACTCTTGAATTTCCCAACACGGAAATTCATTGTTCTTCCTTCCCACCACAATGTTTAACTTGTCCTCGACAAACGGTGTCCTCCCTCGTCGAGTTACAGCATCCTCCCTCCCTCGTTGACGAACCGCGTCCCTCGACGAACGGTGTCCTCCCTCGTCCATGATCGGCGTCCTCCCTCCCTTGAAGAACGGCATCCTCCCTCTCTTGAAGAATGGCTTCCTCCCCCCCTTGAAGAATGGCTCCCTGCCTCCCTTGAAGAACAGCTCGCTCCCGTGAAGAATGGCTTCCTCCCTTAAAGAAAAGATCCCTCCCTCATTGACGAATGGCTCCCTCGTCGACAAACGACTCCTCCCTCAACGAATGGCTCCCTCTCTCGGCAAATGGCTCCCTCCCTTGACGAAAGGCTCCCTCTTGACAAATGGCCCCCTCCCTCGACAAACGGCTCCCCCGATGAACAGTGTCCTCCCTTGATGAACTGCTCCCTCACTCGTCGACGAACGGCATCCTTCGTCCCTTCTTGACTGACGGTGTTTCTCCCTCGACGAATGGTGTCCTCCCTCCCTCGTTGACGAACAGCGTCCTCCCTCTCTCGTTGATAAATGGTATTCCCCCTGCCTTGAAGAACGGCGTCTTCCCTCGCTTGTCGACAAATGCATCTTCCCTCTGTTGTCGACGAACGGTGTCCTCCCTACCTCATTGATGAACGGCTCCCTCCCTTGAAGAACGGCGTCCTCCTCCCTTGTCGACGAATGGCGTCCTCCCTCCTTTGAAGAACGGCTCCGTCCCTTGACGAACAACCGTCCTCCCTTCCTTGTTGGTGAATGGCATCCTCCCTCTGTTGATGAAAGATGGACGGTCTCTTATTCCATAAATTTGATATACTGCAGTCATTACTATGTAGAATATTAGGATATCTTGTATAATGTAGTAGTGCAGACAATAAACTTATTTTTTCGTAACACAAGTTCTGTGTAAAAATCATGCAATATGGTATTAAAATGAGCAGAATGTATGCCCCCCCTCTAGGAATCTGCAGACCCCAGGGGTTGCTACTGAGGGCTGCAGATCTGCTCCGTAATTCTAGGGAGCACTATGAAGTGGCTATGTGTTTCTATGAATGGCTGCAGATCTGCTCTGAGATTCTAGGGAGTGCTGTGTAGTGGCTGTGCGTTTCTATGTAGAGCTGCATAGAACGCGCAGGTGACTGTAAAGGTGATACCCCTTTCTATGGTGCTATGGCACTACACAGCCCTGCCACGTGCTGCCTAGCTCACCCAGGTTTTGCTGATGCAATTAATGACGGGTTTGGGCAAGGTTTGGGGACGGAGTCTTCAACAAAACCGGTGCTGTGGCACCGCGATTTGGTCTTGACTCTTGACACAACAACTGCTTCCATAAAACACAACACATCGAGAGGTGATACATCCTGGAGAAACGGGGTACGAGATCATGGTCAGGATGTGGATTAATAGGCGCTGACAAGGATGCATCGATGAACCTTAAATTTCAAATGTCAGAAGACCTTTGATTTTAGCCTCCTCCTGGTAAAAACCCAATTGATCCCGAAGCTATTTCTTAACTCTCGAGTCTCGCCGCCGCATGTCATTGGTGGATTGATAGGTGCTGACAAGGATGCTTCGATGAACCTTCAATTCAAATGTCAGAAGACTCTCTAATTACGAGGGTCTGCTGTAATACTAGATTCGTTGCCATTCTGCTTGGGTGCGAAAAAGAAATGTGGAAAAAGAAATTGAGTGTGGATAGAATTGTTCTGGTGGCTAATTCCAACCCACACATATTTTTTTTCTGCCGCCAGAACGGCTGGTCTCGAGCCTAAGTAAGTACTTACGCAACAAGTAGACTACTAAGGCGCACGGGAAGCGTCAGGCTTCCCTTACATGTAAGAGGGTCTGACGAGCCTTCACTAAAGTGAATATATGTTTCTGTTGTGTAGCTGCATGGAAAAGGGAATGCGTAAGGTTGGGTGTAGGGGCCGGGAACCGGTCAAGGTCGTGTGCGTCGTCTGTACCGCTCGCGAGGGGTTGTTTTTGGCCAACCTAAAGGGTTCCCTTGCGAGGCCCGTGTAGGTGGGCGATTTAATGTTCAGCATCGGCGGAGTTGTCGTCTTCCGAATCTATGTCAGGTGGTTCAGGCTCGTCGTAGAACGAGGGGAGTTTTTGGGTGTCTCTCCCATGAATGTGAATGCTCCTGAATCTTTTAGATTGGGAGTTCCTAGATTAATGTTTTACTGCCATGCTTGGTTAGCGAGGCACCTTACTTATCTCTGCATAATACTGTACACATCCGATGATTGACAATTGGCCATCGGCGCCTGATAAGTGAGGGTGTAAGCGCAATGAGCTCTGAGTCTGATATCTAGTGGTTGCGCCGCTCCAGCACTATCGACTTTTTGTTTTTTGTTTTTCAGGTTGGCTTCGTAGGTGACGAACGTGAAGAAACAGGTGTGTAATTTGTCTGAATGTTTGTTAACCAGAGCGAATGACGACCGGGAAGGAAACAGTGGGCTTGGCGGTTAAATAACGCCAAGACCGACTTCCCAGCCCTTGCCAGAGGTGCCTTCTTTTTGCAACGTTTCTCAAAGGTACATACCCTTTCAAGTAACTTGTGTTTCATTTTTCGTCGGAGCGTGGGCCGGAAAGAGGAGCACTCATCTGAAATACATTCTCTAGCATTCCCTCTGTCACTCGGAATCCCTTGGATTAATATAATTGCAAAACAGCGTGAGAAGGGTAGCGGGACAGAACTTACCAAGCACGCTATAAACCGAGCTTTTACTACGGAGCGCATCATAACTATTCACATCAAGTCCTCACTCACAACATCGGAAGGTCCCCTTTTACGGTTCAATATAATCCGTGCTTGAAAGACCGCCAGCGGAATGTGTGATTACGAAGGCGCGTTAAATCGAGCGTAGATCCTCGATGCGCATCCTCTGACGTAGCTGTGAAAGCATGTGCTGGAACTGAAGCGCCTTCAGGTTATGCAAAATGCGGAGGCACGGACTGCTGACTTCATTTTTTGGGACGGGATCGCCATAGACTGTAAGGATAAACACACACCTGACGTGTATCTCTCGCGTCGTGACCTTTGCACTCTAGAAATAGACAAGGTCAATCAAAGATAAGGAGACGGGGAATAACAGCATACACATCCCGCCTGCCAGACGCGATCAATCCTGTTTGAGATCTGTGAGCGAGTTCGAGAAAAGACAGGCACACTACGTCTCCTGTAACGGCCTAGTTCCCTGGTATCACTGTCATCGTGACTACCGCGACCACATTTGGAATTGACGAGATCGGACCAGCGCTTGAAGTGGATGCAAAGAAGGAAAGATCAAGTTCGCGATCTGTGATTTCAACAGGTAAACACTCACAATCACAGTCGTTATCAAGACCCCAAAGCCTTCATGGTCATCGATGGGAGGCGAGTATGAGTATTGGGGGAGTCGTTGGGGTGATTTCGCGATCGTTGGAATTCTGTCCAGAAGCTCTATCAGCATACAGCAGAATTGAAAATATAATAGGTACCTTGCTTTTAATGATCTTCTACGCCTTTAAGTTGTCTACCAAAAAAACACGACGCAACTTCAGGATAGACCAACCAGAGACCTTTCTTTCCTGAAATAGTCTAACCCAGATGGCAGAGATAGCTGGTTGACCATCTTTAACGCCTGTAAAAGTCCGAAGAAAACACGCAGTCTTCTATTTCAAATACGAAATCGACCTTGTCCCGAGGAATGAGTGAAATCCTCTTATGAAGGTGGACGAACAAAGGCGCAAGTAGATGGTGCAGCTGTTGTGGGAGGGGAAGAGGAGAGAGGGATGGGTTGCTGCCGTTCGTAATTTGGATAACTGACTGAGGGAGGGTACGCCAATGGAAGGGTGTGATGCTCACCAACATCAGCACTGGATGTTGTCATCGTTCTGGTGACTCCTGCTCTTCCTCGAGTGTAGCGTTCCTCTCCACGTCAAAACGGCCCTCGCCCATCGGCTCCACGTAGGCCACCAACGCTCCTTCTCCGCTGGCCCCATATCAGCACCCCACCCCACCACTCTTAGTCATGAATCCTTTGTTTTCCGGTTCGTTCTCCCTCCTCTCCCCGGATGCGTTGGGGCCGTGGATCCGCTTGTGCTTGCATGGTACTTCGCCATCGGATCCTGCCTGGATCCCAGCTTGAAGCTTGAGCCCAAGACCGCTGGAGGTGAATCCGTTCCTCGACGACAGGTTGGGCCAAAGGGGATGGTACGACACATCCTAGTCGTGGTTGCCAGTTATGATCAAGTTTCTCTGATCTTGAAAGTTAGCGCATACATTGTATCCCGATATGCGAAAAGATGCTTCTCTGTCGCCGTAGAAGATGCTGTGTCGGCACTGTCGAGCTTATGCGTGAGTAAGTCACGTATTGCGGCGATATTAGGTCAAGAGTACTTACTTCTCGATCGCCTGTAGATGTCCTTCGTTCTTGTGTGCATCGGACACGTGTATATATGCTCTTCACTGTCCCAGACGTCGCAGGGATTGGTGTGTTCTGTAGACATCCCTCCGCTGTTGACCCTGTACATCGTCGTCGGTACGTTGGCTCTACAAAAGCATTTCAATGTAGTTTCATTTGATGACAACGTGTTGACTTACAATCCTCATGTAGACGTTTGCTTTTATCTTTTGTCTTTTGAAATCCTCCGAGAGTGTCAATGCGAACCTGCGAAGATACGTCAATGTCATAATAGTCTGCAGAGGCGTACTGACGTACCTTTATCGTCTAGTGCGTGCTGGCTCCGTTGACGCCTTGCAATCACTAAAACATCGCCGTTGCCCTTTCCAGCCTCAAGACGACAAATCTCCATCCGCACAACCGGTGTATGCACCCAGAATGCTCCATCCGAAGTGCTGACTACTTGGAAACGACCGCGGCCATCAGTGTTGTGCAGGATGCCCAGCTCCCAGATGCGAAAGCCCGCCTCGCCGTAGTATATCCGCTCGTTGCCCGCACTCCTGCCGCCTGCGTCCTTCCGACGGCGCTTATGCGTTGGATCCGATGTCAGCTCTTTGTGTACGCGTTTTCGTCGTCTTGTTCTTCCTTTTCCGTGTTGGTAGAATTCTCTGTATGTAGCATACCGAAATCTAATGGCTTTTGTTAGTAGAAAACCTGTCTGTAAAAGACAATGTGGTACTCACTATCGCGTGAAACTGCTGATCTGACACATGACTTTGCTGGGCGCGTTCCCCTATCCATCCTCAAGTTTACGAGGGGGTAATTTCAGGCAATGGCGCTTGAAAGGGCGGCATCTGCTCAACATTTAAATTTGCTGGTGGCCACTCGCGATCGCACGGATGATGGCGGAACTCCATGCGGAACTCGAGTGTCGAGCGTTGAAAAATGGGTTTACAAGTGGAGTAACATTTCTTTCAGCGAAAAATGGTAGGATAGGTTGAAACTGCAACGAGCTTGAAGCCCCTCCTCAGAGGGGAACTAGGGTACCTGTTGAACCGCGGCTTCCTCAAACAAAAATATAAACACCAAAGAATTATACCCACATAGACCTAATCTGTGAGGGTGATGACGGGTGACTGCCTTTGTTGCGTCCTGGCGCCCGAAAATCAAAAACGTCGGGATCGCCGGACACGTGGTGAACGATCTCTTGGCGCTAAGTCACAGCGCTCCCGCCCTGTGCGTATCAACTTGGTATCAAAAGCTTGAAAATATATACGAAATGTGAAAGCTTGAAGCTTCAGAGGGAATATTGAAAGGGTTCTTCGCTCTGCAGCTGTGGTGGTTTGCATTAGAGAACGTGATGCCGGTGTTTGACGAACCAAACATCGAGTCAAACTCAAAATCACCCTTCACCACTTTCTGCCTTCTAACAAGTCAGCTGAAGCGATGCTGAAAGACCCAGGGCCATACTCTATTTGTCCACTACCAATATGTCCTTCGTCCGCCGCTCGCGTACTTACCTTGCTCAATTCTGGCCGCAATGTTGGGCTTTTTCTCAGGCTTCGCATCTCTCATCGGAGTCGAGTAATTTTGCTTCTTCGCATCTAGTGAGTTGTGAAAATTACCCGCTTGTTGTACTTCCTTATGCATGTTGAAGTCCACGTTGTCCAGATGCTTCGTATTACTTAGCCTTGGGCTCGGCTGAAACGCAGAAATGCGATTCCAAATGATTACTACTCTTGCGCACTGGTCAGTAAGTACATCTACTCGGATACGACGCAAACCATTCAATGCACCTTGAAAAGATGGCTCCTGAGTCGGCGTAGCTCAGGCATTTGAGGGCGAAAGTGGACTGACTGTGCCAGAAGTCAAACCAGTCGACCGATCCAAGTGGTTCGTGGCGCTCATTGAAGTGAGCCTGAACCTCAACTGGATTCTTATCCGCCTAATAAGCTAGCGTCTGTCCTTGACGCATGCGACAATAGCCTTGCAAACCTTTCCCTTCCACCTGCAGGATAAGTCTCACGCATTCTTTCTAACCAACATGGCCAAGACAACATTTTGATTCCTGATACAAAACCACAACAAGTTCACGACCTCGCATACAACCTATTCTCCACACCGACACGTCTTCCACGGCGCCCCACACGAATAACAAAACTGCGTCCTGCACCGGCACACAATATGGTAACACCCCTGTATCAACTCCACAATGGCCTTGCACTCCGGACACGTTTGCCACATCTCCTTTTTGGCGAGTTGGCGCACTTGGAGGGTTAACACGTTCTCGGCGCAGTTGTCCCCTGGGTGTGCGGGTTGTTTACACCCTGGACATGCGAGGGCGTGGCATTTTGGGCATGGGACAGCTGGTACTGGTGCTGATGCGCTAGATGGCTTGTTAGTGGATGACCCCGCGGAGCTGTGGGTAGGGATGAATGCGCATCATTTGGTGTTGGGGCAGTATAACCTCGATGCGGTGGGTGTACCGAATTCGATGCATTTGGCTGCGAAGAGGCGTTGGAGGTCGGCGTTGAGGTATGGTGTGATGGTTGTGGTGTCTATGGGTTTATTGCAGCATTTTAAGGGGAAGAAGGTTTCGTCAAGCGTGCATGTTTTGACGAAGGATATGATGCATGCGGAGCAGAAGGTGTGTTCGCAGGGTAGTTTGAGATATTTTTCTTCGTTGCTGTCATCGTTGCTGAAATAGTCGTGGCAACCGTTGCATAGGACTCTGCGTGTGGATGATTATGGTGAGATCCGAGTTTGGGAGGTGAGGAGGACGCACTCGTATGCTGGGAGCTCTTCGAACTCGAGCAAGGACTCCTCTATTTCCTCCAGGTCTGTAAAGGAAGAAGAGGGACTGGAGCTTCTTTTGAAAGAAAAAAAAACATCATTCAGCCATGAAACACGATGCCAAAAATTCAAGATACCTACGGGAGTGACTTGGAAGCTTCTTCTTCCTCCTTCCTCTGATCCTCGACCCACTTCTGGCACTTGGACATGTCCGGCATTTTTTCGCCTTTCGATAGAGCAACGGCGGCACGACGATCATCTACGGCCGCCTGGTCGCTCTTAGCAATGGCGATCAAGCACTCCCGGTCTGTCATGAGCCCTTCACCCATACTAGCAACCAGCGCGGCATCGTTCGCGACTTGCAGTGCCACGCGCGTCAACTCGGCTTGCAGGTCAAGTGCGTACTCCGAGTCTGTTTGCGGTGTGTCATGGCGGGCTTTACCTTTTCGTCCCTCTTCTAATTCGCGGATGTTTTCGAGGGTGAGTCGGAGTATTAGTTGAGATGAGGCGACGTCGATATCCATAGCGTTGGTTTCATTGCTTGGGAGGGTGTTGTTGGTAAGAGTGAGTTTGGAACCGGAGGGTCTGGCGTGTGCGTTTTCATGAATTTGAACCATAGCTGCGGGGGAAATCAGCTAACGCTTATCGATTCGAATTTTGCAGAAAGCCTGGTGGGCTGGAATCTATGGACAGTAACTAGTAAGGGGGCATGAAGAGATGACGATGATGATGTTCAACACATACATGCTAAGAGTCATGATAGTCGATGAGGGGAGGGTCATTGAAGAATGAACAGAGATAGTTTTCAATCAGAGTCCAGCAACGAAAACAAGCAAGCAAGCAAAGAAGAAAAGGAATATGTCAAAGGTAAAAGGAAACGGGCAGAGAGCCCAGCTCAAGCCCCACTCCTCAAAAACATCTAGCCTCCTCCTAGTGCTACCCAACACGCTATCATCGCCCCCCGCATCACTAATCGTAGGCATAACGCTCCTCACTCTCCTGACCCCGTCCCCGTAGCCGTAACCGATGATCATGACGTCCGACTCGCGGCTCGTATGACGCACCACCCCCAAAGTACACCTCAACTTGACGAAAGGGAAGGACTCATGTTCCTTGCGGATCGAGCCAAACGTCGAGAACGACCACTTCAATTTGGGCATCTGGAGGGAGGCGAGACGTCGTCAGAAGAGGTGGGCTGCAAACAAGCGCGTGATTCAGAGTTCTTTCAAGGCCTTTGGCGATGTCCGTTTCCAAGTCGACCTGGGCTCGAAGGTCGGAGCGAGAGGGACAGCATCGTCAGACACTCCCCATCATCGTCACCCCCCACATCCATGTCCCATTGCCCAAGTCCACGGCAAAATTCAAATCGAAAGTCGTCCGATTTACGGGCACTTATCAAGCCCAGGTCATCTTCGAGAGGGAAAACGAGAACACAGAAAACTAATCGTCCGTTTCGAAGATGCAGTCTGCAGGGATGCTCAAGGGTGGAGGTGGCCTGCAAGATGAGGCTGAGGTGCGTGGTACGCGGGAGTGGAAGGATTATGGGGAGGTTCGGAAGAGTGGCGAGAGGTGGAATTTGGCTAGAACAGGAAGAGGAGAAAATGGAAGAAGAGGCAGACGAGGAACGGTCGACCGTTGGGATAGGTGGTGGTGGGTATATCGGCACCAAAGCTTCTCCTGTTTTGTCATTTGCCAGCAGGAGGTAAGGCAGGGAGGAAGATGGTGTAAGAGGGATTGGTTTGGAGTATTGGATTGTGTAACGGGGGACGAACATAGATTCGGGGCGTGTGTGGTGAGGAGGGGACAGGGGAAGGTGAGGATTCTCTGGTGGACCATTCTCGCCTTCATAGGTTTCGTAGAACGACTCTTCTCTGCGGGAATTGAACCACGGAGGAGGGAGTGTCAACTCGTCGTCTGACGTTGATGGCATTGACGGCAGAGTTCCAAATCACGGGGATGGACTGAATTCTGAGGTTGAGACGGAAGAGGTGAAAGAGGTGAAGAACGGAGTGAAGAGGGAGTTGGGCCTTTTGTAGGAAACATCTATGAATGCCAACCTGAACGAGTCAGGGAACGGCTCCCTTGATGGACGATGGGCAAATTGAGCTGCGGAGAGAAGGATGTCGTTTTGAGTAAAGATGTCGTCGTCGAGTCCAAGGCAAAGGTGAGACCAACCCTTCCGATATCATCGTCATCCCATCGCAAGTACCTATATGCGCGCAGAACCACCTAAACTGCATACACCTCACGTTTATCGAACCTATACGAATTCGCCATGGCAAGCTTGAAGGGAAAGATGTCTCTTATGCCATACCGCAATTAAACGTGGACGACCGAGTTCATGGGTTTGGAAATTGCAAGAGGGGAGGGGGAAAAGAATGTTTGGAAGGGAGAATCGATTAGGAGGGTCCGGAGCTCTAAGGGAGGCTAATAGAGGACGTTTGGTGGACCCACATCTGTGAAGAGAGGGTGGATGAGATTAGAAGGGAAAGGGAAGAGGGTAGGAGTACCTAGATGCCAGCGGATCGGAGAGTATAAGTATACATGAATCCAGCTAGTGGTATGGCTTTGTTAGAAGTGGGAAAACGGCAGCAAAGGGAATGGAACGAACCTTTGACTCTTTCGGCATCTCCTCCCTTCGAAATCCGCTACACGTCGTTTTCTGCCTCATGGGCACTTGTCTCCAGTGGGATCCCCAGCCCAACGGCAGGTTTGAGTTGCCGTCCGAACACCGTTTGTTGCTCGTCGAAGTTGTCCTAGTAGTGATTGAGCCCTTCCATATTTCGACAATTACAGCGCAGGTCGGGTGGGTCATGGGTTCTAGCCTTCTAGGGGGGTTCGTCAAAGACGGAGGAGGGACTGAAATGCAGAGGGAACGTACGTGTCGTTTCTACAGCGTTGGCGTGCTGGTATTTACCATCGTGAGTACGTAGTTCGGCCAGCTCTCCTTGTGTGAGATCTGGCACTGGTATGTATAGCCAACTGATGAACAACTTGAACCAGGTTAAGTACTCGTCATCGATATGTACCAAGCCCAAGCACTCACCCAAACAGAGCCAAGACGCAATCACCTCCCCTCCGTCTTCTCTCCGAGTCCGCGAATGTCTTGCAGAGTTTTTCTGGACAGGCGCCTGACACCATACAGCTAGGTATTCCTCGGCTCCAGATGGTGTTGAATTTCTTTCCCCCATTTTCGGCTGTTTTGTGTGGATTTGGAAGAACGATCTGTCTGAGGTGTTGTTCGTGTTGGTGTAGGCGACAGTCACAGTAAGAGAGAGATCGCGAAGCCACAGATGACAAGTCACTTTGTAAAACCAAAGTAACAGCACAATCACCAGCGAGCAGTTTGAAGAAGTTCGTTCTGAAAGTGTGACGTCACACAATCGAATTCTTACTATCTCGATTCTCTCAGTAAGTTTGGGAATTGGAAGTTACGGCGTGCATAACGGCGATCGCTTACGGCGGCACTTTCCGTGACAAAAAAACGTGACCCGCCACACAACGCGTTGAAACGCCTGTATCGTGCGCGCTCATCCGCATCACATTACCGCCAATGCTACCCGCCTCCAACGCCCTCGACAAGCTCAAGGTGCACCCTGTATTTTGAAACCTTACCGTAGATGGTGTTGTGATATTCACATGCCAAGTTGCCAGCCACCTCAAACGCGACATCCTCCAACCACAACCGATCCCTCGAAATAACTCATCAATTCTGCCCTCCGCCTTGCCTCCGCCCATCACGAATTTTCTTGGAGCTTCTCTTGGAATGTCTACCGATGACATTGATGATTGTTGGGATCTATTGCAAGATTATGTGTGGGAGATACCTGGTATTGCCGCTTACATCAAGAGACTTTCATTTGTTCAAACAATTTGGATGGCCGTGTGGATTTAGTTGAGTAGATACATTCATTTGTAAATGGAATCACTTTTCTTATAAAATGTAGCTGCAATATCCATATACCCGCCTGATGAACTCGTGAACTAAGCGCTAAAGTAATCACGTGATGACGGCGGAAACTGCCGCCGTAAACGATCGCCGTAATTACGGCGCCGGAATTTCCAATGTACGAATGCCCTCCATTCTCTAGACCCTACAACAGCTGGTGTCTGATTTTTGGCTATCCTTCCTCACGTCCATCTCAGAAATCCGCCTCTGCGAACATCCATTAGCCCAGGCGCTATTGGATCACACAAAACAACATTATGCTTTGTTCCACTTTGATGTGTGGTTTACAGTCCAATTACAGTCCGTGCCTGCGCCCTCAACATCACTGACGTCATCATATCCAGCAACATATCAATACTACTTACAAGTAGAAAAGGTATGGCCCCAATATGGCCCCAAAACGAAGCTTACATAACGCAAGTTAACAAATTCTGCTTCTAGCGACAAATTGCAGCTGCCAGTGAACTTGAAGGCTCACCATCGTCGGGCTTGGTTTAGCTGGGGTGGTATGTGGTTGTGGCTGAGATTCGTGGTTGGACAGAGCCACGTACCTTGAAATTCCGCTACCCAGCCCGTCACCCATCAACAATTCCTCCACATCGAGATGGAGCCCCACGTCATCTCTTCTGAATAGGCCCCCTGCACCTCCTCGACGCTACCTTTCTATGGGAATAATGAAAATACCGTTCCGCACACGACCGCAATGCACTACAGTGCTTTGCATTGCCGTCTGCACAGCCGTCGTGCAGACGGCAGTGCAAAGCACTGTAAGTAAGGCTGTTCCGCAGAAAGATTTGCCATCAAACATTGAAACAACAACACAGCTTGAACACAGCCCAAGAGTCGCCGCTGGTCATGAGACAACCTCTCAAGTCTTCTCACTGCGGTGACCGGTCAAGTGCTCCTGGCATTTGAACGCAACGAGGCAGCAGTATTATACAGTAGGACCCCGGCGTAGTAAGTGCTCAGTGCTATCAGAGAGCTAACTCAACGTCAAGTCAACCTGGCTGATTTTTATGCTTTATGCAGGTTTTATCCAGACGTCGGCTTAATCCTTGCATTTGCCTCACATCTCGATGTTGCCAATGAGCTCCATTTTATCTTTCATCTGGCATCCGAAATACAGTTACTTGAAGCCAAACAAGCTTCCAGCCACTTATCGCTTCAAGGCTATCTTGACATCGCCTTAGAAATCGCAGATCTCGTGGGATTCAGATCATACACAGGGCACTTTAAGCGCTGAACGCTGTAGACTATATATGGGGAATTTTAACGAAGGTCACACGCAGAATGAGTACCGAAATATATCCTTCAGAGCCTCCAGAGTCTAACCCCGATGTCGATTTCCCTCTGCTCGCCGCCGAGAACGATTGGAACAATAATGGCCCTTCTCCTTCCCCCGTTTCGACATGGCGGTAGGATCCTTATCAAATGTTTTGACTGAAGTGCTGAACTAATAATCTCACATAGGATGATTAGGATCAAATTTTGCAAGTATGGGCCTTTTGGCGTGCACTTTGGCCTGACGGCCCTCATAGCGACGGTCTGTCTATGCTTTCTGGATGGTCGTACTTTCAACACCAACTCCCGCCGACCTCAATATGTGGAAGCCGACGGCTCTTTTTCCCATTCGAAATCGTATGCCCCCCTCCAATCTGATATTACGACGGCTGTCTCATTGGCAGCCTCAGCGACACGCGTTGCTGCTGGATGGTGGGCGACAGGCCTCGTTTGGCGTAGCATTTTTGTGGCCATGGAGCAAGGCGGTATTTTCGCAGAAGGCCTATCGCAAGTGGCCTCGAGTAGACCACCTGCATATTGCCACATAATTCAAAAAAGTAACGTGGTCATCATATACATAATCCTTGTCGCTACATTCGCCATCGATTATTTCTCCGCGGCTTTAACTGGTTCATTGGTCTGGGAGCCTGCGAGCACGCTTATGCCTGGAAGGGTAGCACTCACTGGGATCACGAGAGGGGTCAGTGGCATTGATATCTCAGGATACTTCAACCATAAGCCCAACCGAACTTTGGTTGTGGAAGTGGGTTCCGCTGCCGCAATTGTCGCATGGGGGAGTCACCCGCCGGACTTCTTGAATGGGGCAGAACCTTCAACAGTTTTCCGGCGTGTTATCAAAGGAGCGCAATACATCTCTATCAATTCCACCCTTAATACCACAATGCCTTATTTCGACCTCGTCGCTTTCGAATGGGTATTGGATCCCGCCCAAGTTTTGACGGAAAAACAGTTACCCTTATTTCATGACGACAGCGAATTTAGTCCCTACTCTGCGGATGTTGGGGTTGGCGGGCTGTTACCCGACAGCTACTGGGGGCCGTCCGAGTCTGTTATGGGGAGAAAGTTGGGGGATTCCCACAACGTGTCAGAAACACGACTTTTCATCTTCCGTGTTGGGAGATATGACTCAGACGTGTGGCCATGCCCACAGAATTATACCATCGACCCTGGCTTCCAAGTTAACCTGCACGGGTACCGGTTTCAAGGATATTACACTGACTGTTTCGCAATTGCGAAAATGACGTACCGGGCGGGAGCGATCACATGTCAGAGTCGGAATTGTAGACTTATTTCTTCTACCATTGTAGAAGCGCAGCCCCCCTTTTCACTCGTCGGAGATCCCTTAACTTCGATGGCATTGGCATTGGCACCGTTGCTGTGTACCAATTTCTTCTTTTCCAACTACGCTGTTCCCTCCAACTATGGGACACGCAGAAACTTGGCCATCGAGTTGACTTCGCGGGCATATCAGGCCGCTTGGGCAGCACTTTCGAACGTGCTGATAAGTGAGTCGGATGACGCGACTGTGGAGATTGCCTTGCCGACATTACGCACCAAAGTCATTCGTTGGAGGATATACCTTTGGGTAGCACTACATCTGTTGGTGTTAGTGTTAGGCCTTCTTTTCATTTATGTTCAAAGCCATTGTAATCACCCATGGGTTGAAGACCTGGCCATGGCTATCTTTTGGCTAGACACGAGAGCAGGTCTTGCCAACTTGCCAGGTGGTCAGTGCGTCGTCTCAGACCCATGGCAGCCCGGAATGGAGATTCGTAACGAGGGAGTGCTTATACTACGGCTCGACGAAGCTGGTAAACGCTCAGTGCAGCAGGCTGCCAGTGTGCAGGTTACAGCTAACGAGGCATCCACTGACAGTGTATACGAACTTCAGCACACTCCCCAAGGGCCAAATCGGGTGAGCGACACATAGGGTGAGAGTGCGACACTCAGAGCGACACACCTGTGTGTCCATCCCTTTCCTGAGGTGTGTCGCATATTCAATGTGCGACACATCCAAGCGATGTGTTTGCTATGCCTGAGTTCAGTTCTTTTTGTTTTTTTTCTCAAGTTCTTCTGTCCTCGGTAAATGGCAGCATAATGTGTATTCCTTATCTACAAGAAAAACATTTATATGGAAAGATATACCTACATACAGTCGTGGACAAGCAAAGCCCACTAATAAAAATGGAAATGTATTGATGGCTACCAAAGTGCCCGGAAAACGTGCAGATACGTTGAGGGAAGCTTCTGGCCAAATTTCAGCCAAGTCTCACGAGCCGTTTTGGAGAAAATGGCCATATACAGAAATAGACCCTAAAATTTTGGCCGGACACCAAAAAGTGCCAAGAAAAATATGAAAAATAGCGGAATCGCTTCCTTTCTCATTATGTAACCAATAATGAAACTCGCCGTCTTCCTTTTCCTTTCCCCATCTTATCTCTTCCTCACTGACGACGACGACGATAACCGAATGTGAACGAACCGTCGACAGCGTCCACCACCCTCTTTTCGCCACAACATTCTTTAAATCGTCATTTTGCCCATTTATTGGCAAGGACGACCCCCACAATCATACCCATAATTTCCTGAACGCATCCCAAGATGCTCCTCCGAGGTAACCTCTCAAGCTTGCAAGGCGGGACACCTTCCTTGTCCTGTTCGGAGCACGTTTCATGCACATCTTGTCTTTCCTCTTCCCAAGTCGACAGGTGACAAGCCAGTCAACAGCCATGGTGATCATTGACCAGCGCAAATGCACGTAAACACCTACTGGGGTCGTGTCAGAACCAACTGCCGCAGGCTATCCGTCTTCACCGACGCATATACCCCAATCCGATACCCTCCCGCCAACAACCATCCTCACACACGCACCAGGATAGACTCTATTCCAGAATCTCTACATGTCAAATGGGACCTTATTCCCCATCATACCCAACGTGTCATACACCCCTTCGATGAGCGCGAGCAACTCATATGGCACCACAAAAGTCGACGGCTTGCGCTCAACACTCTAGATAACATTGCACAGAGGGAACCTACAGAATAGGAGATGCACTTTTTGAGCGTACTTGAGGCAGCGGGGATGTGGGGTAAAGAGGGCGAGGAAAAGAGAGTTTGGACGGTTGATGGGAATACGGTGAGTTTCCTTGGCGTCAAATTAGCCTTTTTGACGATTAACCGCACCCTGCCCTTTCCCTTTTGATCCTTCAGCTCCTCTTGAACGACCCACCCCAATTCCTGCGACACTACTACCACTTCGTTGCTGAACTCTTTCTCGGCGTCCAAGCATTCTGGCACGGCTTCTTCTACTCACCCACATCCCATCACCCCAAGTCTTCTTCAATCCACCCCACACCTCCGCCAATACATCGCGCCATATTCATACACTCGGACACGGATGGATGGCGAGACGACCCTGGGTTTAATTCATATTTCCTTCGAGCGGCCTTTCCGTCTCTTACAGTAGAACACCAGGAAGACTGGGATGATCGAGTGACCAGTGCTAGCATTGAGTCGCCTTTCACCAGCAAGGCGAGGGCATGGCACTTCCCCTTGGCACTTTTGGCAGACCGAAGCGCAGCGCATCGTGGTGTGATGTGTGGGAGTCGGACGCAGAGGACTGCGGCGGAGGCTTGGGACTATATGCGTGTCCGTGGACGTTGAGAGGGGTTCGTGTGGGTGGGTGGTGGGGTCCTGTGAGGGAGGCGATTTGGCGATTTGCGGGTGTGAAGGCATCGCAAATTGGAGATCATGCTCGTCTCGTCGGAGTGTTGCCCATGCCGGAAAAGGTCGTCATCACGTATATTTCCCGACAGAGTGCGCATAAGAGGAGGCTTTTGAAGGAGGATCACGAGGCACTTGTTAAGGAGCTGAAGGCATTGGTTGCACGAAAGAATGCAGAGAGGGAGGCTGGTGGTGGTGGAGAGAAGGAGTTGGTCAAGGGTGGGGGAGTCGAGTGGGCTCCGTTGGCAGAGGCGAGCAAGTCTTCCCAGCCGCCACTGCCAGAGTGGGAACTCGAAGTCCTCGAAGCGGAACATATAACAAAGGACGAGCAAGTCCGCGCTGCTTCTCGAACGACCGTTCAGCCTTTTTTTTCTTTCTCCTTTTCAAAGTAGTCCTCAGTAACGATTTCCCCAACAGATCCTCCTAGGCGTACACGGCAACGGCCTAACCCACCTCGTCTTCATGCCGCCCACCCGCATCTCCGCCGTGATTGAGATATTCTGCCCTCCCGGGTTCGCACATGACTATCAGTGGACGACGCAGGCGTTGGGAATGAGGTATTTTGGGGTGTGGAATGATACGTATTTTATGAGGGAGCCGGAGGTGAGGTATCCGGAGTGTTTTCAGGGGGATGGGATCATGGTTTGGGCAGGGGTTGTGGTAAAGATTGTTGAGGGGAGGGTTCGGGGGGAGGTTTAATGGAGAGTAAGCCGTCCATCCACCAACGTCGAAACTTCTTTCTTCTTTTTCATTCCTTCTTCGTTTGTTTGGATTTCTGGTTGTTGAGTAGAGGTCTGCTCGTCTGCCATTTGTCTATCATGTTCATCGCTTGGCGAGAATAGAAAAAGTTGCGCCAAATTTGCGCGTTGTCTGCCGACCTTGTTTGGCAGGACACGTCGAAGAAAACAGCGTTCCATGATCTCCATCGAAAAGCCTCCGACTCTTCACGACTCCTTCTCAACTATCGGCCTCGGTAGGCTGTAAAAGCCCTCTGAACAAATTCAGTTTTTTTATTATGGCAACCATTTTCTCTCGCGGGATCTCACTCACTTTGAAACAGAGATATTTTTGCTTGTCTCTCCTTTCACTAGAAACATGGCTCACATTTCAGACGAAACGTTCTCGTTTAACGAACAATGCTTTTCGAAACTACTTTGAAGAAAGTTGTGGACAAGCTCTGGGGACGTCACCTTCATGCGAAGCAACGGTTCGTCCCCCCGTTCATTTGTTGTTCGGGACAATTGACCAACACCAGGATCCGGAATTTGCACAGAACGGTCGAATGCATTAGTTGCTTTGACGAAGTGACCCTCAACAAGGTCCTCCGTGCTCCATGCAAGCACAATTACTGCTCCTCCTGCCTCGCGGCCCTCGTCAACCAATCCATCAAAGACGAGTCGTGTTTCCCTGTGCGATGCTGCAAGAAAAAGGTCCCCACCACGCGAATACTCAAACACCTCGAAGATCAAGACATCAAGCGCAATCTATCAGCCAAGATGCACGAGTACGCAACACCGCAAAGTCAGCGACTCTATTGTCCCACGAAGAGCTGCACCACGTTCCTCGGAGCCGCCTCGTCCTTTAGATTCCAATCCGTCCGGTGTCCCGCGTGTCACAAGGCGACGTGCAAATGGTGCCGGCGGCCGATGCACAAAGGGAGCCCTTGCGCCGAGGACGAAGCTACCCAGGAGCTTAGGCGGACTGCGAAATCGGAAGGGTGGCAGACGTGTCCGGGGTGCAAGGCGGTGGTGCAGAGGTTGTCGGGGTGTAACAGCATTGTGTGTCGATGTGGTGTCAATTTTTGCTATTTGTGTGGGATGAAGATGTCGAAATGTCGGCATGGTCAGTGTTTGCGTGTTAATGCAAGATAGTAGCCTAGGGAGTGTTTTTTTTTTCTGAGCGTAGCCAAGACTGGAATGAAATACATTGAAGAGTCCGTTCTGAGCACAGTAGGACAGCAGTACTTACTTACATTCCATTTCCTGCCCCTGACTCACGATGTATATTGCCTTGCGTCGATCTGAGCCTTAAATCTGAACAGTTGGGCCCTAAGGCTATTTGTTACAGCGAGCATGGCACTGCCTCTCAATGCATCATGTCTCGGCACTTCCCTCCTTATCTAGCTGAGTCCGCGAATGGATGGTAAGTGCATGGTTTCACGGCTCAATTGAAGAGGTTTTCTGTACCTGAAATCGAGGTGTTCCTCATTCATATGATCACTCCGCAGCTTGCCAGTACGGAAATGATCTGTCAAAAATGTTGACACTCGCAAGCGTGCAGGATTTGTCGGGGGCACACGCAGCATCTGGAGAAGACTGATCGAATGATAAGGGTAGCATGGAGACGAGGGAAATGACGAAGCGGGAGGGATGGCAGAGGTGTTCGCATTGTAAGGCGGTGATTCGAAGGGTGTATGAGTGTAATAAAATGCCAGCGTGTGCAAGGTGAAATTTTGTTAATTATGTGCGTGGTCCGTTGATGACGAATTTTTGTAAGGCTGCGCACTGCGCCCGTCTATGATGATCAACGGATGCACATAGCGGGTATACAGCCGGTCCAATAGAGATTTGTGGAGTAAAAGAAGGCCAGTGTTGGGAGGAATGGAAGCGGAAAGATACGCAAGCAAAAAGTTAAATACACAAATGGCAACAAACAGAAGTAAATCTGATTTTGATTATTCACAAAAAACGTACGCGAACCCCCCGAATCCCGCAACGAAAAATAAAGGGTACTGACACGATAATGTATTAGTCTTCAACATCTCGAAATGCATACCTGGTCAACCTAAAGGAGCGGCAAGTGCATTGTAAAGTGGCAAGTTCATCATGGAGCGAACTTGAAGAAGAAAAGACAAAGCTCCACTTTGACAAAGTAACTCGGAAGCGTGAGCGTGATTATGATCATCACCGTGCGGGTAGCAGAGTAAGTTTGGAAGGCGCGAAGAGGTGGCACGATGGGTGTCAAGAAATAGCGCTCTTTGAGGACTCTGCGCCTCAATTTTTGGAGACAGAACGAGGCAGCTCAAAACAATTTTGTCATACAGGTAACTCTCAAGGCCTCGAAGGGATATATCGCTATAGTTACAACCGCGGGGGCCGACTGGAAGATGTCCACATTGGACGGATCCTTACCAATCTCGAACAAAATTCATCAGGAAACACTGAATTTATAAGTAGTTTCTCGACAAAATCCATTGCACTAGTACTTTTTGGTCCTTCGCCGTAGCACAGAGTAGCCACGGTGTGTCTGGGTAGTTGGCCTTGCATGTACGTTGCCTGAGTAGCTGTCCGGCAAGTGTCAGTAGTCCCAATATCTGTTCGGCAAGTGTCAGTAGTCCCCATATTCTTTCACCGGGAACCTGTAGCTTTGGTAGAAGAAATAACCCAAGCCCATAAGGAGTAGTAGTTAAGAAGAGCAAAATAGGAATAAAGCTCGAAAGAAAAAAAATGTTATTTTGCACGGCTACGAGACTTCCAAGATACATCAAGATCAACTAAATATTGTAGAAGGAAAAAGTCGTGATGGCGAAGGTAGGGATTTTTGTTGCGTCATCAAGAACTGTAGATAATGTCCAAGTATCAGGCATCTTGTGGCCGAATTTTGGAGCAAGGGGGCAGCTCCTTATTATCTTGGCCAGAGGAATGACGGACGCGCACTGGCCACAAGTAGACGTAGGTGTCCCTATAGTACCATAAAAGTACAACATGGACAATTGTCCTATGGGTCATAGGACTACCCAAATGGGCCCAATGAGCAACTAGACTATGGTGCTGTAGATTGGCCCAAAGGTGTAAAAACACCTAATGTTTGTCATTGGGCCAAATGACCCCAGATGTCTTAGGCAAAAATGGATGGTGAAATTAGGAGAGGGAGTTCCGAAATACATTATCCCAGGGCATATGTCCCACGAACATGCGAAATGTCCAGGGGATTAGTTTCAAGATACAGAGGACATCCAAAAAGCACTCGCATAAATTTTTTGGGGAAATGCAAAATGTCCGGACCAATAACCTGATTATCTACAGAACACCAGAAGAACAACCCTGGTGGTGGTATAAGTGTCCCGAAAAAAATGCGAAATGTCCGGAGCATTAGTTTCAATATACAGAGGACATCCAAAAAGCCCTCGCATAAATGTTTTGGGGAAATGCAAAATGTCCGGACCAATAACTTGATTATCTATGTAACACCAGAAGAACAACCCTGGTAGTGGGATAAGTGTCCCGAAAAAATGCGAACTGTCCGGACCAATAACTTGATAACATCAGAAGAACAACCCTGGGACTGGTATAAATGTCCCGGAAAAATGCGAAATGTCCGGAGCATTAGTTTCAATATACAAAGGACATCAAAAAAGCATTTTGCTTAAATGTTTTGGGAAAATGCGAAATGTCCGGACCAATAACTTGATTATCTACAGAACACCAGATAAACAACCCTGGTAGTGGTATAAGTGTCCCGACAAAAGTGCGAAATGTCCGGAGCATTAGTTTCAATATACAAAGGACATCCAAAAAGCCCTCGCATAAATGTTTTGGGGAAATGCAAAATGTCCGGACCAATAACCTGATTATCTACAGAACACCAGAAGAACAACCCTGGTGGTGGTATGAATGTCCCGAAAAAAATGCGAAATGTCCGGAGCATTAGTTTCAATATACAAAGGACATCCAAAAAGCCCTCATATAAATGTTTTGGGGAAATGCGAAATGTCCGGACCAATAACTTGATTATCTACGGAACATCAGAAGAACAACCCTGGGACTGGTATAAATGTCCCAGAAACATGCGAAATGTCTGGAGCATTAGTTTTATACAAAGGACATCCACAAAGCACTCACATAAATGTTTTGGAGAAATTTGAAATGACCAGACCAATAACTTGATTATCTACAGAACACCAGAAGAACAACCCTGGTAGCGGTATAAGTGTCCCGAAAAAATGCGAAATGTCCAGACCAATAACTTGATTATCTACAGAACACCAGATAAACAACCCTGGTAGTGGTATAAGTGTCCCGAAAAAAGTGCGAAATGTCCGGAGCATTAGTTTCAATATACAAAGGACATCCAAAAAGCCCTCGCATAAATGTTTTGGGGAAATGCAAAATGTCCGGACCAATAACCTGATTATCTACAGAACACCAGAAAACAACCCTGGTAGTGGTATGAATGTCCCGAAAAAAATGCGAAATGTCCGGAGCATTAGTTTCAATATACAAAGGACATCCAAAAAGCCCTCATATAAATGTTTTGGGGAAATGCGAAATGTCCGGACCAATAACTTGATTATCTACGGAACATCAGAAGAACAACCCTGGGACTGGTATAAATGTCCCAGAAACATGCGAAATGTCTGGAGCATTAGTTTTATACAAAGGACATCAAAAAAGCATTTCACATAAATGTTTTGGGAAAATGCGAAATGTCCGGACCAATAACTTGATTATCTATGGAACATTAGAAGAACAACCATGTAGTGGTATGAATGTCCTGGAAAAATGCGAAATGTCCAGAGAATCAGTTTCAATATACAGATGACATCTGAAAACAACCCTGGATGGCCACATGAATGTTCTGGAAAAATCTGAGATGTCCAGTGCAATGGGACATCAGAAAAACAACCATGGTATATGTGGACATCCAGGATGCTTTTCAGATGTCCCCAATTAATGTCATGCAGGGTTGTGTTTGGATGCCCTTTTCATAGTTAAATCATTCCAGGGTTGTTTTTTGGATGTCCTGTGGATGTTTGAATTGATAAACAATATCCTTGTGTTCCACCAAACCCCACAATTCCCGCTCAACCCGAAAGTTCCGCTCAACCCGAAAGTTCCGCTCAACCCGAAAGTTCCACTCAACCCGAAAGTTCCGACCCACCGCAAGTTCCGCTAAAATACTGGGAGTCCAGTGCCAAAAAACCGGGTAAAATTCTTCAGCTTCCCAACACTTTGGGCCCATCATACAGCCATTGGGACTCTCGATATTGGGCCCAACAACTATCCTTAGGCTAAGTTAACCCACTCAAATGACCATAATTGGGCCAAATGCCTATTTGGCAGGATTTGGTTTGGCCTGACATTTGGGCCCAACATTCACCCTTAGGTGTCTTTAAGGAACTGGGCCCACCCATGGCCCCATAGTGACGTCCAGAGTGTTGGGCCCATTTGGGTAGCCCTATGACCCATAGGACAATTGTCCATGTTGTACTTTTATGGTTCCATAGCGCAGCTACTGAATGCCCTGCACTGGCGATGATTGTGAACAGTCAGTGAGATGAGAGTGATGTTTCGATGTTTGGGGCTTACCACTTGAAGGACACGATGACATTGATAACTCCTCACTGTGAGACCAAGCTGCCTTCCTTCCATTCCCTTGCATCATGCAGGTCGTCCTTGATGTCGTTGTCAGTTGAAGAGTCGCACAAATATGCCATGAGGCTGGCACATATACGGTCGATATGTGCGCTGGCTCTGGAACAGTGGAACCTGGATGGGCGAACGGGGATTGGAAGGCGGGAGAGTTTGGGCTGAGAGGGGAAGAGGCCAAAGATTTGAAAGAGAGAGCGAGCAATGACAGGTTGGTTTGCAATTTGTTCAAGTCCATTGAAACTCCGACACCATGTGACGATGTTGATTTTTGAATTCCCCAACACGGAATTCCAATGTTCTTCCTTCCCACCACGTCGCCAACTTGGAAGTCTTTCCATCCAAGTCCTCTTCATCTCCAGTCAGTGTGTCCCATTCTTCTTCATCCAGGTTCTCCACACTCACAACCCTTTGTTTGTTCATCTCTAGTCTGTGTGTGCATTCACCCTCATCTGTGTTAGCCGTACTCACACTCACCCTCCTTTCTCTCCTTGTTTCCATGTGCGCGCTTTCATCTGTCTTCGTTCACGTCCGCTGTACTCACATCCCATTTGCTGTCTCATGATTCATCCACAGGCAGTGCTGACCGCTACCCTCAAGTATGTGTAGCATGTCTGTGCGTACTTTCAACCTCCCTCATCTATGTTCGTCGTATTCACCCCCCCCTTCTCTCATCTCCAGGCAGTGTGTACTGTCCTTGTCTCTTATGTCTTTTATCAGTGTTTGTCATACTCCCCCCTCCCCCTTTCTCGTGGCAGTGTGCACTTTACTCATCTCTTATCGGCTTTCCTCGTCTCTCATCAGTGTTCATCGTACTCACCCTACCCCACCCCTTTCTCTTGTCATCTACAGGCAGTGCTTACTCTCCTCATCTCTTATCAGTGTTCGTCATACTCACACCCCCCCCTTGCTCTCCATGTGCTCTCCTCATCTCCAGGTAGTAGATGTGTTACACACTTCCTTTGTTCATGATTAGGCTAGAAGTTTGAATGTGTATATATATACCTATCTCATAATACACAATACCACCTGATGCTTCCTGATCACTACTGCCATTTTGGTTCAAACAATGACCAGCTATGTAGTGCCGTACACCCAGTAGCCTTTGTAGATCAGAAACAATGCAAACAACGTATGAATAGACTTGGTTACAGAGCGCTGGTTCACCTGGTAGCTTCGGTAGACACAGAGCAACACACACAACATAGAGCTATCTAGCAAATTCAGGAAACTACTGGTGCTACTGAGATTAGTAGGATGACTATGGGAACTATGCACTAGGGGACTTGTGTACCCAGGTATTCAGTATACTAAGGGTATTTGTAACTACTGACCCAAGTCAGCGCCTCCTGATGTTGGGGTGCAACGACGGATGCCCGTGGCGAGGAGAGACAGGACAAAGGAGACCAAGCATGTGAGGTCATGAGAGAGCATGAATGCTATAAAATGAGTTGTATCGTTTTCGTGAGTTCCCCCAAGAACAAATTCACCACTACTTACTCGATTATCCCCTGCATACAAATCTCTTCATCATGCGACTCTCCATCACCGCCGCCACTCTTGCATTATTGTTCTACGCAGGAGCCGCAATGGCACAGGATGTGGGCGAGTCGTGCCCCACTGATCAGGCTGGTATGTGCCACAACATCGTCTGCGATCAGGTCTTTGATTCTCAACTTGGGTGTCGACTGGTGATGTCGGCTGCGCGAACACAGCCAGCGTTAACAGTGGAAATGCATACATCTTTATTTGCAATGGCGAAGAATTCGTCTTGTTCGCCGACTGCGCTAGTCCATTTGGATGCAAGACTGAGGGCCCGAAGAACGCAGTCTGTATTTGAACAACAGGTTGGTTTTTATTTGCTTTGCAGACATTGGATATGGTAACAACGAATGTAGTATGGTGAAATTCTAGGACTTGGAATATATGTACATGTACTACATCAGGAAATTCCACAATCCACGGACCACGATGTGACAGTTTTTCATTCGTAGATTGAGCCACTGGTTAAGTATGCTAGTAACATGCGACAAATAATGCCCTACATCTTTTATGTTGCTGTAGCCATGTAGCCATCTCGTTCATGCGCCTCATGAATTTATTTCAAGTTCCTGTCAGAATAGTGTTCTGAGCTCAATCTTTTTGTTTTTTTTTTGTTTTTTGTTTTTTGCCTTGTCAGGTTGGACTCTCACCAATTCGTCCTCGCCCTCCCTGCTTATAAGATTTATATAACACTCTCCGACAAGGCAACTGAAGCGGGAGGCCCACGTGGTTGAGCTATGCGATATTGGCTGCATTCCACATCTTGTGCCCTGATCCCCCGAGGAATATGTTGAATCACATTTCAGTGCATAGTATGTAGAGGAGTCGTTAAGACTCAGGCTTTTCTCCAGTAATAAGCAAGATCAGCCTGTGGAACTTTTGAACATAACCCAGGCTAATTTCAAAAGACTGGAATAGACATCGAAATAAAAAGAGAACATGCATTGCAAGGAAGTGTCAGGATAAAGTCACACAATCTAGGGGCTACATTGGCAAGCCAATTGATCCGTAGACAACATAGGAACTCACTGTAGTGAACAACTGAAAAACAAATGTATGAAAGCCCGACCCTTAAACCAAAGGATGACAATAAGAACATACAAGCTTTCTTTCTAGAACTATTTATTGCGACATAGCAAGGACGTTCTATCCCGGAAAGATCAGTAAAAACAAACATCTCAAAGACAGACAGAAATACCTCCGGAAGAGCTGAATTTCTTATTCATTGCAACCCCGTCTGTTTGAAGGATTTCTCCAGCTACCACTGAATGCCATGCGGCATCATAACTCGCGCCGTCTAAACAACATGAGAGGCAACACAGTATTCCTTACAATTCTCACTCACCCCAGTCATGCTTGGCTGTAAGGCACTTCGAAAAGGAAGGACGAGTCTCCGGTGCCGTCGTTTTATCAGAACCCTTCCGTGAATATGTGAACACTATCGGCTGACCCTCCTTTGAGCCCGGACAATTGTCAGTGAGAAGGGCAATGACATTGCCATCGTTCAAGGTAACCTCTCCATCCTCGTTTTCAAGCAACTGAATGTCATGGCCCAAGACCCCTTCTACATGAATGAGACATTCTTTCAAGGAAGCAACTGTGTGAGGTGGCGGAATGATAAATATGTCAACGTGACCCAAAGAAGAGTCGCTCTCGTCAAACGATGTTTTTGAGACAGCTTCACCATCATCGTCGTAAAATCGGTAATACACTGGTGAGTGTGAGTTTAAACATTTTTGAAAGGAAAACCACAAACGTGCACCATAACATCGTTCAATCTTCCATGTGGGCAATTCATTCGAGCCCGCATGACTGGCAGCCCTCGGTCTCTTCTTAGCGGCGCCCTTATCAACAACGAGAACTACAGGGTCAACCTCAGATGATCCTGGGCCAGAATCCCCTCTGAGCGCTAGACGAGCAGAGTCGTCCACAGGCTTCTTTTCTGACTGCGACAGATACAAAGCACTCTTTTCCGGGCCTTCCACGCCCTCAATCTTGCAAATGTACCTCTTCAGTGATGTGGCTGTACGAGGGGGCCTCACTGATTTAGACGAGATACGACTGATGGAGCGATCATTGGAGAAGATCGGGTTGTTTGATTCGAGTGGCCCTCCTTTAGTATATAACCGATAGTATACTGCGTGCATCATGTGAAATAGACGATAGATATGACAGAGAATATGCACTGTTGCGGTGTTCGCTAGCGCTTATCGTTTGAGATGGCTAATTTATCATTTCGAATCAAAAATGCCAGGACTGACACAACAAGACTTACCGGCTCAGTTCCTCCCTGACCATCCAGAGAGGCTTGACCAGTGATATTCTCAAATTTATGCGCTCCGTCGCCAGTGGGCATCGTGAGGTTGTAGGTCGCAATGGTGGTTGGAGCGAAGCTTTCTCATGGTGAAGCACTCAACACCGGCAATAGCCAGTGACACTCTTTTCACTCACACCATCTTCCTTTTTACGGCTCTGGTGTGGTGCCATCTGTCCGTCTCAATGTACTCCGCTTCTCCTTGATGAAGCTCACTCTGTCATCCAGACACTCATGACCCCCAGGATATGTGGTAAATTTTCATGTTTGGACATCGACACACCCCTCCAATACATCTATTTCACAATTGATGACATCCAAAGGGTGAACCAGCGACACACAGAAGGCAAGCAAAATCGGAGTGGTTATTAGAGGATTTGGAGCTTGTATTCGGATTTGGGAACGACGATGCATTAACGGAAGGGCTGTGTACTAACCTGTTGGTTGTTGTGTCTGGGGCGCGAGCGAGGGTGATTGGATGACGGTGAAGGAGCAAGTGGAGAGGGACAATCGGAGGGCTTCGTTGGCTGTTTCTGCGGATTTGGATACGCCGTGGTTGACGAGGTGTCAGAGAGCCTGGGTTTGAGAAATTGAGTACAAGGTTCTTTCCCTTCCTTTGGCTATGATCCTTTTCACAGTTCTCCCTTTTCCTTCTTAACTCATCCCCTCTCTTCACAGATGCGGATCTACCGAACATCCTCTATTAGCCCTCCCTTGGAGCTCCGTATCCCTCAAAAAATCGATTCGAAGGTATAGCAATCATTCATGGCCAGTTTGAAGGGTAAGATGTCGCTGATATACCATACGGCAATGAAACGTGGACGTCCAATGTCGGAAAAATCTGTGATGCCTTACAATAATAATAAATTACAAGGCTATCGGGAGCTATTGTAGTCACGTTATAATGGTCACGTTGCATTATAAGATCAATGTTTGTCCTGTAATCAAAGTGCGCGCACCACGCTGAACGCGCGTCTGTCGTCCCTCCTCATTCCCAATGCCTCCCAAAGGGAAAGGTCCAAAAGGAACACTAAAGCCTTCTGTTTTAGACCCTCTATGCACTTTTTGTGGGCTTCCTTTCAAGTCAAAGGGCATAACACAGCACCAAAAATCATGCAAATCTCGTCCTGAGGCAGTTGCTTCAGATGCAAGATCCAGGGCATTTGAGGAACAGGTACAACAAGAGGGGTTATTGGGTAAGCTGTACAGTGCTTGATGGCATATTACTGGCTAATAGCCTTGGTCCAGACCCTTTTATCCCTGTGATTGGGCCAAGCTCTGCCTACACTCCTCTTGGTAGCATTCATTTCCTCCCTTCCACTTTTTTCTTGATTTTCCAAGCTGATCAGTTCAATCTAGGGTATACACATACTCAATTGCAAGCAGGAAATGTGGAAAATAGTAAGTATTACTTGATAGCACACATCTGATTATGTTACCCAGCCTATGATGCAAACATAGCAATATTCAATGAAAATGAAATGATCAACAACACCGATAACAACAACACCGAGCCCCATGGTGAAGTCCATACTGACAAAGGGTCCTCTAGTCCATTTGAGCAGGCACCACAGCTCAATGTCATCAAAGTGGAGTACCATCCAAGAAGCGGACGCCAACCTCAATTCTTTAGCTTTGATGAGTACAAAAGCAATTTCCAGGATCTCAATAGTGTCGACATTCCAGTTGATCCTGAGCCATGGAAACCTTTCCGTTCTCGTCTCGATTTTGAACTGGCAGAATTGATTCTTGATACCCACATGAATAAGAATCAAACGAATGAACTCATCTCCCTCATCCATCGATGTATTCTAGACCCCAAGTCTTTTACCTTGAAAAATGAACCTGACTTGTCAAAAATTTGGGAGAATGCTGCAAATCAGGCAACTACGGTAAGCAGAATTTTGTTCACCTGCAGGTGGAAAAGTGATCTGACTATATTAGTTTGAGAAAACAACAATCACAGTAGAGTATAATGATGAAGATAAACCCTTTGACATTTGGACACGTCCATTGTGGAGTTGGGCTGAGGAACTTCTTCTTGACCCCCACATTGCCAGGGAATTTCATTGGGATGCTGAACATCATTACAGATTTAATGGGGAGACTTATGAACGATTCATTGATGAGCCCTGGACAGCTGATGCATGGTGGGAAATTCAAGTAAGTTGTGAAGTCCCATCTGCTCATTATCATGATATCTAATGATCAACTAGGCATCGCTTCCACCAGGAGCAGTTCCTTTTTTTTTCATGGTGTATGCAGATAAAAACAGGCTATCATCCTTTGGCACTGCAAAGGGCTACCCTGCCATTGCTGTTTGTGCCCATCTTCCAACATCAATTCGAAATGGGGAAAAGAGGGGGAAAAGAGTTTGTGTTGGATGGTTTCCAGTTGTAAGAAGATTTCTCATCATTTATAATTGCATGCAGCTTACCCATAGAACCATGCAGTTGCAAGAAGACTCAGGTGAAACTCAGTACTTTACAGTGCCCCACCTATTCCTGCAGGAATCCTGCAGGAATGGGGTCATTCCAGTGGAATTCCAGGGGAATCCTGCAGGAATAGAGTCATTCCAGTGGAATTCCACAGGAATTCCAGTGGAATAGGACTGGAATCAAGCAGAGTAAGTTTTTTTCAACTCCAACCTTATCCTGATGACTTGGCACTCATATTTCCTTATAAAATTCACATGTAGAAGTCATAGATTGAGTTGTAATGTATTTGAAATGTATTACTACACACATTACACAGTTTATCTTAAAGGGAGGGGGGAGGGACAAGGTGGGGA